CTTGTTTCCCACCTTGTCTCCGTTTCCTCTTTCTCCTCGGGTATTTGGGTGTGTCTGCTTCGTCCATAATCTGGGCCCCGGGAACGACAAGTTCGACGCCCGTTCTCTTAAGTGCATCTTCCTTGGCTATTCTCGAACCCAGAAAGGGTATAAGTGTTACCATCCTAGTTCTCGATGGCCCTTTGTGTGTGCTGATGTCACATTCTTTGAGTCTACTCCGTTCTTTTTGGGATCCGGTGATGCTTCTTCCCCTTTTCACCTATGGAAACACCTATAGAAACAAATACTAGGCTTGTTGGGTGCTAAATCAACTGAAACACCTATGGAAACAAATACTAGGCTAAGCAGTGATATGGGTGAAGTGTTTGAAGACCCTGGCAGATACCGATGACTTGTAGGTAAACTGAACTACCTAACCATTACTCGGCTAGACATTTCATTTGCGGTTAGTGTGGTAAGTCAGTTCATGTAGAAACCTCTGGTTCCTCATTGGAATGCAGTTCTGAGAATTGTGAGGTATTTAAAAGGGGCCCCGGGTCGTGGTTTGATATATAGAAGCGGCGGAAAACTTAAAATAGAAGGGTATTCTGATGCTGACTGGGTTGGTTTTGTGTCTGATAGGTGGTCTACCACAGGCTATTGCACTTTTCTGGGGGGTAACCTGGTGACATGGAAAAGTAAGAAGCAGACAGTCGTGGCAAGAAGTAGTGCAAAAGCAGAATATAGAGCTATGGCACATACTACTTGTGAATTAGTGTGGCTAAGGAACCTTCTACARGARRTAGGRTACAAYATYAAYAYTCCAATGAAGCTCTATTGTGACAATCAGGCTGCAGTTCATATTTCTTCTAATCCGGTGTTTCATGAAAGAACCAAGCACATTGAGGTTGACTGTCACTTTGTGAGGGAGAAAGTGTTGAATGGAGTGCTAGACACTGCATACGTCAATACAGGAAACCGGTGGGCAGACTTATTTACAAAAGGGTTGAGTCGGGGAAGAGTGGACTACATATGTAACAAGCTGGGATTRTATGATATATACTCACCAGCTTGAGGGGGAGTGTTAGTGTAGGGGTATTTCTGTCTTTATACTTATATTAAGATTGCTGATCTGTAATGTTATGTTAGAACCAATGCTCCTTACTTAAATAAGGGCACATATGTCTTTTCCACTATTTTTAATAATAAAAGCACATGTCTGGCCTAATGGGAGTAGGTTTTTGACTTCCAGTTCGAACCAGACTTTTCTCCTTTTCTCTTTCTCTCTTTCTTCCACCTTTCTACCTCTTTCTACGTGACTGATCTCAGACAAACAGAACTCCAAGGCAGGCCGAATCATAACAGAAATAAAGACTACTAAAACAGAATATAGAACACGTAGGCCTTTACCCAATAATGGTCCCAACTATTTGGGGTCTTGGGAGGGGTAGACTGGCTATGGTCTTAATCTTTGGCATTTTTTTTTCACTCAAAGTGGCTGCCCTCAGACTTGAGCCCATGTTCTCACACCTGCCAGCTTGAGAATACATGCAATATAAACTTAGTGATGACAAGAGTCAGAATCATGGTGCAGTCAAGAATGTACGACCAAGAGATATCTCAGTGTTACAACTTTTGTTATGTTGGTTCAATAATTAATAGTGAGGGTGATGTTATGTGGGAAGGATCATTTTTGACTTCCATGTAGCTGATGTTATGTGGGTATGGTCATCCTGTTCACAAATAATAATACCATTTGGTCTGACTGTAAACATTTTCCTTGGCTTTGTCATGCTTTAATGTAGATATAATTATGGTGAACTCTGATAAAACATAGACCCCACTGCGGTCCTTTTTGTTTGGCCCCTTTGTGCATGTGTACCTCAACATGACCTATGATAGAGATACTTCAGCTTGCTTAGTGTTCTTTATTTGTGTGTTGGACATTGAATTGATACTTCTAGAACATATTTATTTCTTGTATATCATCAATTGTTCTCTTATTCACATAACCTGTTTTGTCAACAAGAATGTATAAAACTACTAATAATTGTTGTGCTGAAATTACTAGAGATTTGGTTAACTTAGAATAAGGTGGAACTAAAGGAAAGTTGTCTTGCGAAAACAAAAAGATTAGCAGATTGATTTTTTTTTTACTACTGACAGATCAGAAACATTTTATTAAGAATTATAAAATGGTATATAAGTAGTAAGTATTACGAGTAGAGCCTCTAGTCTCCCTCTTAATGTTACAAGTATCCCTTGAGCTCCCTCACCTCCAAATAGTTAAATTGGATATCAGATCTACATTCTTGTGTTATATATTTTGAGAATTGAGAGATTTTATCTTATTTGTCTTGCCTTTTATGCATCTTAGCATTCTTATATACAGCTTTTGCTCCATGGACAGTAACTTAGAAAAGCAGATTGTGTCCAAGTAGGGGAAGGCATTAGATAAAGAGGAAGGGGTTTTGAAATTAGTCTGTAAAATATTCAAATGAATCAAGCAGCAAAGTGATGTTTTTGGGTAGACCATAATTGTATGCTTGCTCTTTTAGAATTATGAAATTCTCTAATTTCTAGTTACGAATTGATTCCTTGTCAATTATATTTAGTTCATCCCATTCATTTGTCTTTACCAAGGTTCAAAGTATTGATACACCTAGTACACCTGAACATGTGTTTCTGGTGAGTGATACAATTTTTTTTTGTTTCATATTTTTATAGGGGGTTTCTAATACTTCTACTTAATGTTTAAAAATATCATAATTTCTGAATCAGCATTTTGGTGACCCTCCAGAATGATACATCATATCGATACTTTGAAACCTGACCTTAAAAACCTGGAATCCTGGCATATATCTATGTTTACTCTTGCCTAATTTTGAAAGAATAGTGCTATTATTATTTAGCTACCTTTAGTACTATTGGCAATGCATGGTTGTAACTTGTGATGATATATTCCATCTAATTAGTTTGAATACTTGAAATCAGATGTTAATTCCTAATTATCTGTTGCTTTTTCTTTTCTAGAAACTCAAACACCATCCTGCAATCAAACCTATATTGGAAGGTGGAACAGTTCTGCAATATGGTGCTCGAACTTTGAATGAAGGCGGTTTTCAGGTGCATCAAATAAACTTCTTGTCGGTAATATAAGGAGGGAGAACAAGAATTTGGTTCGGAGAACAGAGACAGTCTTCCTGCATATTTCATACATCCTTTGACTGGAATGGCCTCATTGCCAAAAATCAATTTAGTTTATCCTTATCATCCAATTCGTTGTATTGCATTGGATGATAATGAGAAGATTGCAACAACCCAAAAAGAGGCCATAGGTTAAGTTCTAGGGGCCATCGATGACTTGGTTTTGCTTCAATGCTGCCACAGTATGCAAGGGAGATTGTTTATGCCCTTCCCATTACCATCAAGTCTCTATTTGATCTGAGTTGTGGTGTTGATTTTCTGCTTCATGTAAATGGTTTTTATATCATGCAAATATGAATATGGTGCTAGTTACATTTCAGTCTATTCCCTATCCAGTTTTCCCGGGAGGAGCAATTGTGGGATGTTCTGTTGGCTTCTTAAATGTGCCAAAGATAAAGGGGACACATACTGCAATGAAATCAGGTATTACTCACTTCTTTATTGTTGAACACTTGATATGTCTTATGTTGGTTAGTTTTGATAACAACTAGATGCAAACATGATTCTTCAAATAATGAAGTATTTATATAAAACAAAGCAATATTGGATATTCCTATATCTATTCTATAAAATATGATCGATAGGGGAAAATGATAGAGAAAGTAATTGGATTTTGCATCCATTCTTTTTTTCTTGTTTCTTATCAAAGAAGAGAACCTGATAGAATTAAAAGCTAGGAATTCAGGAATTCACATACCTTATTTTTGAAATAGCTATAAATTCTACAAGTAATATCTATTATACATAATCACATACATGCACAGGCACAAATGTGCTTAAAAAGTTCTCAATATTGGCAAGATTTGGCAAAATGTACCTGAAATTTTCCCTTTTCACTAGGGAGTGGAATGAAATATTTCAAGAATCTTTTCTCCCTTATATATCTTATACATTGCTGATATATTGGTGATATTTTGAATTTCAATGATAAATTATACATTTAAGATTAAAATTGTATGCATATGTATAGTAACAAATAACAAGTAATAGGAATCAAAATGGGAATGATACATATAGAAGAGAAGATGACTAAAAGACTAAGGTCTTGTTCTTTTGGTTTGTTTTCAACCTCCGATGTCCTAAAAGCAAAATTTTTTAGACCAAACTATTCTTTTAATACCTCTTACTCTTATTTTTAGACTTCAGACATTAGACTTGACAACATTTTTACTTTTTGTCCCCAAAATGCCCTTCGTGCAATTTATTCATTATTTTTTATTAGTAACACACTCTTACTATACATTATTAAAATTTTATAAATAAAATACTAAAATATTATTTTAATATTATTACTATAATAATATTCTAATAACATAATGTTAAAATACAATGATATTAACATTATTGTATTTTTAAATCATATTAAAATAATATTTTAATTAAAACTAATATTTAAAATAATATAAAAATATTATTGTTTTAATATTTTAATAGTATTTTATTATGTTCTTAATTTTATGAATGTTATTAATATTTTATAATTATGTTATTATGTTATCTATATTTTATTAATTATATTATTATTTTGTTATTAATAATGTTAATTATCAATAACGGAAACATCCATTCTCATAATGAACTATGGGGGGAAAATGGTAAAGTAACCACTTTTAAATTCAGCATTCATATTTCTAAACAATATTCTCTGCATTCAGATATTTGATAAAACAAAAGGCACCAATTTTCAAAGTACTTTCTTTTAGAGCTTTTTAGCTTTTCAGACGTCAAACTTTAGACCAACAAAACAACACCTAAAAGGAGATAGATAGAGATGCCTATTCAAGTCTTTTAATGTTCTCTGATTTGATATACGCAGCAATGTTATCAATGTGGTGAAGTGATGACTAGTTGTTTAGCCTCTCTAGTAGATAATTAGCCATCAATAAAAAAAGATATGTTCTAAATTTAAGATATCGTGCAATCTCATAAGTTAGTTAACATAAACTACATTCATGCAAGAAAAGGATGATGTAAATATTTAGTTTAGTCATTGTTTTTTACATAGGAAAAAATTTCCAAGGAAAGAGAGCAACTTTGATTATTTGATGTGCCCTTTTCTTATAGCAACTCCATATCAACACACCACTGATTGGAAGAAAACTTAAAAGAATTCCTCCACTATATTCTCTTATTTTGTGCCTTTATTTCTATTTTATATAACGTCTGATCAAGTTCCATCATAAATACTTAAATCAACAGCATGAATATAAACAAAAGGCAATCATATTCTATATTGTTTCATATAATTAGAGATGCAAAAAAAAGCTCTAAAATGACTGTAGCTGACCTGTCTGACTAGTCACTTATACTAGTTGACCCATTTGATGCTTATTGTCCTAGGATACCACATTATGAGTATCAACCAACTAGTTAGTGATGCGCTTGGCTTGGCCTTCAACTGACTAGTTAGTCAACTAGTTGATGACTAGACAACGCTTTTGTAACACTTATATACAGTTGTTCGCTATGTTATCTTAATTTAAATATGCAACTATACCTTTTATTAACAAATTCTATGTTTTTGGTAATTCCCTGATTTCCTGAGATTATATATAAAGCTAAAGTAGTGAAATATCACTGAAATTCCTCCATCTCTGCATGGAAAAACATCCATTGATATCAAAATTGCAAACTTTGCAAACATTTCATATTATGATTTTTTTTGTGTGCCATCATATATCTATTGTCCCTTTTTAGTGGAACCTTCTTCTTACATTGATTATTATCAATTCATGTCATTTCTCTGGTATCATTGTTTAGCCACAATTCTCTGAATCAGTAAAAAATGGGGCTTATTGAGTTGTGATCTGTGGTTTTATAACCTTGGTTGTATGTCATATCAAACATTACTTGACGTAGGAATGCTAGCAGCAGAAGCTGTATTCCATACACTTCAAGAAGGTTCTAGTATGGAAGCATATTGGGACAATTTAAAGAAGTCATGGGTATGGGAGGAACTCTATAGAGCACGGAATTACCGTCCGGTTAGTATTTTGAAAAGATATAATCAACTAATCCCAACTATTCTTTTTCTCTTTGATTTTATGCCTTTTTTATGTTAACAAAATCATATTATATTAATCAAAATGATAGAAGATGTACATGGAAGGATGTATAATTAGATAATCCAAATTCTGTGATTATCAAATTCTGTATGAATATTGCATCATTTAAAAGATTCAGTTATGTTGGTTATATTTGTCTGTGCATATTAGAATATGTTTTGTATATCTCATTAAGATGCATTGGGAGTACTTACAAGACAAACTCAGATACATACAAAAGTTTGTTATACAAGTTATAAATATGATGTTTATGATGAAACTACTACTATATTACATTCCTTTCTTTCTTATTAAAAGTTTTTACTTTCTATAAAAAGAAAAAATGAACAGAAAATTGATATATAGAGTAGGCCATTTTTAGGGATTTTTTTTTTAGATTGAGTTTGCGTGATCACATAATTTTCAAGATGATAGGTAAAATTTCTTTTTTTACATGTTATATACTCGCTGTTTTTGGTCTTTCACAATGATTCAATTTTGATGGTTAGGTTCATCCTGTAGGAAAAATTGTATAAAGAATTTTCTATGGTTACATATGGCAGAAGTTTTCTAGAGGGCCTATATCAATAAAAATGTAATATATTGTGGGGTTCTGCATCATCAAGAAATCATTTTGTTATCTTGAAACATTTGAATTATTGTCCATTTTTGTAGTCACTTCTGTCTTTCAATTGGCTACACTTGAGCGACTACATGGTTCTCATCGTTTTATACTTAATGTTCCTTTTGGGAGTTCAAAAAACAAAGGAGAAAGAAAGAAAAGGAGACATTTTGTTATTGAATTTCTTGATTTGTAGGATGGTCAGAATCAGGATCATCCATCATTTTTTATTTTTATGTGGCAGCATACCAGCCCACTTATTGGTGGTTGATCTTTGAGAAATGCAAAAATTCTATGATGCAGAGCATTGTGAGATGCAATTTATCAGTCTTTTTCTTTTCAGTCTTTACATTCAACTTTTAGTGGTTCTATTTTTGTAGGCATTTGAGTATGGGATGATCCCAGGTTTGGCTTTATCTGCATTGGAACAGTAAGATATCACTACATCAAGTTTCCATTCTTCAAGAACTTTCTATCTTTTGTATTCGATGCTTATCTCTGATGGATCCACACTTGGTGGTTCTTTTCTTGTTGTCAGCTACATTCTGAAAGGAAGGTCTCCATTGACATTAAAGCATGGGAAACCTGATCATGAAGCAACTGATGTAAGTGTAGAGATTCGATGGGCTTACATGGGCTGATGCTTATTGTGGGGATCAGGTGTACTTTTGCATGATGTATCTTATACACAATATCATTTTTTCTGTACATCTCTTTTATTCTTGTAAGAGAAGGGCATAATGGTCCTTTTTCATTCTTTTATATCATTAGTATACAAAGTTTCCTTTTGGGTGTGTGACATTAAGCACACCCTAGGGGTGATCATGGTTTGGTTAACCAAACCATCGACCCTTTTTTTTTTGAAACCAAACCAGTACCACCATTTTTGAAAAACCGTAAACCGAAACCAAACCAAAACCAATTGGTTAACCGGTTGATTGGTTCGGTTCTTCAGTTTCTCGATTTTTATATTTACAATATATATTACGAATAATATATAATATATAATTTATTGTAAATATACTGTATATTATAAGTAGATAATTATAAATATAATATATATGCATATGTATTTATATATAGTGCATATAAATTTATGTTAATAGATAATATAATATAATATATACCGATCGGTTCTGTTAACCAGATTTTTCGGTTTAGTTTCCTCAGTTCTGTTCAGCTTTTCGGTTTTTTTGGCTTTTGTTGAGCACCCCTAGTACACCCTACTCAAACTGTTCTATTGCTCTATTCATACTGTGTTTTCATGGTATCGGAGCAGGTTTCTCAAACCCATTTTTGATTAAAGACCAAATCTTGGATTTTAAAAGGGATATTCCAGGACCTTCAGATCGTCTACTTTGCAGTCCTTTGGGAACCTTCAGGAGGCTGTATTGATCAGCACAAGTACTCGTATATTTCTCTGGAAAATTACTTTTCAGATTGGAGTTCTCTTTTTCCTCTCTATTAGATGATCCGATTAGGTTGGGGCTTGATATCTTGTCTTGCCCTAGCCTACTCTTTCTATTTGTCAATCTGGATTTTGAAGGGTTTTGATCCCTCTCTTCAAGTTGGAAAGCCTGCAACTTACCTTTTTTGGATTGGTACCTCTTGTTAGGTGTGAGCAAAAAAAAAAAACGAAAAACCGAATTGACCAAAACCGAACCGAAAATTCAGTTAAACAAACCGGTCGGTTCGGTTTCAGTTCAGTATTTAAAAAAAACCAAAGGTACCGGTTCGGCTTTGGTTAACCAAAATAGAAAACCGGTGGTTAACCGAAGCAATTGGTATACATATATTTATATATATTTTATGTATATTTATATATAGTATATATATATATATATATTTTTATATTTTCTATACATTGTAAATTAATAAATATGCATTATATATATTTATAGTATTTTATTATATACTTATATATTTTCTATAATAAATATTGTAAATAATAAAAAACCGACAAACCGAACCGACGGTTAACCAAACCGATCAACCGGTTAACCGATCGGCTTCGGTTACCAAAAACCAGTAACCCTAGTTCGGTTTCAAAAATTAACCCACGGTTCGGTTAACTGAACTGTGAGTGCCCCTACCTCTTGTTTCTGGTTATTGGAAGATTCTTTGGAAGGAATATATTCTGTTGTGTAGTGGTTTACTGAAACCCTTGTTGATTTGCTCAACTATCTTTGATTGGTTATAACTTGCTGAAATGGCCTTTGAAACGGGAGAAATACTGTTGGTTAATTTTCATGGAACTAACTATGCGCTCTAGAAATTCATTTCCAATTCCTTGTTGAAAGAAAGAAACTCTGGGGATATGTAGATAGTACGGGAAAGAAACTAGGTGAATCTGATTCTAAGAATCTGAAGGAATGGAAGATCGATAATGCTAGAGTTGTGTTGTGGCTTCTTGGTTCGATTGAAACCGATGTTGCTATTACCAATGAGAGGTTTCCAAACTGCTAGTGAGATGTTTGCCTATAGGAAAAAGGTATTCAATAATCTCACGCTAATTCTATATGTCTTCTTTTGGATTTAGTCCTTTAATTTATATGATTCTCTCTATAGATTCCAAATTTTTGGGTATTATTGAGAGGAGATGTGCACTTGACAATTATAGAGGAGTTGAAATGAGAGAACAGTTAGGAATCATCGATTGAAGAGTGATTCTGAATTGAACATTTATAGCATTTTTCTTGGGGGAGGAGTGGTTACAAAGGCCAAGAATACTATAACAGGTAGCATGGACAAGCAAGATTGGATAATTTACAATAAGGAAAAAATCAATTGATTGATGTTCTAGCGGTAAAAAATGACTCCCTCTGGAGTAATTGAATTGGTAGAATTGGAAGACACAGTGAGTGTTGAGCGAGAGGAGAAGGAGAAGAAGGGAAGAAGAAGAAGAAGAAGAAGAAGAAGAGGCTACAGAGTTAAGGCCTCAAAACTGAACAGCTTCAGTCGAGTAAAGCATTGTATTTATACTATACTGGCCGTACAACACAATAGGTCTACAAAATTACAAAAATACCCCTGTGGGTACTAAACCTGTATACAGAACATATAATACACCTGTCAACACTCCCCCTCAAGTTGGGGCATAGATATCAATCATGCCCAACTTGTCACAGAGACCTTGATGTCTGAAATGGCTTAGCCCTTTTGTGAAGATGTCTGTTAGTTGGTCTTCAGAGCTGATGTATGGAGTGCATACTTCGCCTGTGATGATTTTCTCTCTGATAAAGTGCTTGTCAACCTCAATGTGCTTTGTTCTRTCATRTAGTACCRGATTGGCAGCAATACTTATAGCTGCCTTGTTGTCACAGAGTAGAGTTATGGGTTTATCAACTGGAAAACCCCACTCTCCCAATAGATTCCTTATCCACATACATTCGGCAACTCCGTGTGCCATTGCATGGTACTCAGCTTCAGCACTGGATCTAGCAACCACGGTTTGCTTCTTACTCCACTAGTAGACCTTCTGTCACATTGAGATCCAGCCCAATCCGCATCTGTGTAAATTTCAACTCTCAAATGCCCATGTTTCTGGAATAATAAGCCAGCACCCAGGAACTTCTTAAGATACCGCATTATTCTCTCTACTACTTCAAAATGAGTGGACCTAGGTGCATGCATGAACTGGCTGAGGACACCAACAGCATATGCTATGTCTGGACGAGTCATACAGAGGTACAGCAATCTCCCTACCAGCCTCTGAAATTGCTTCACATCCTTAAGAGGTTCACCTTGGTTGTCACTTAACTTATGGTTGGGGTCAATAGGAGAGTCAGTTAGTTTAACCCCAATCTTTCCAATGTCCTTAAGCAAATCTAGGACATATTTCTTTTG